ACATTACTTAGAACGGAGGCAGTGCTACAATACCCTATATATCTACCTATTATAGTAGGGAAGGTGCGCTCGTATTATAATTAGTCGATAGTCCTTAATTCTTATAGCTTTATATCCCTTTACTTTATCGTATATAGAGATAGCGCAGTTAGAGTTATATATTGTATTATTAGAGGTAAGGTTTGACATAGTTACATAATTAGGTAGTTAAGTGTTTAATTTAGCGCAGGCTAAGCAGCTTATTAGACCTGCTAAGTTAGTAGTAATAGAGGTTAAGACTAGGACAAAGACCGGCTACGAGGGCGCGGCCTTTAGAAGGGAAGCGTATATTAGGGCTAAAGAGGCTATACGTAATTAGTATGTAACTAGGCCGAGTAAAGCTAGGGTCTTAATGCCTTAGGCAGGGCTTGGCGCTTGGCGTTAGGCCAACTCTCTTACCTTCCTCCCTCTCCTCCTAGCTCCTTATCGAATACTACTTATACCTACTACTACCCTATCTACCTGCTAACATACCCTTCTTATACGAGGGTACTAATAGCTTTGCTATATTAAACGACAAAAAGAGATTATAGCAGTAGCTTGCTACTAGCGGCTTATATAAGGCGAAAGCTTCGCTCGTATACTTCTAGGCACGCGCTAGCCGCCTAGGAGCATATATTAACCTTCTACGCTATTAATTCTATATCTAATAGCGCGACCGTATACTATCTATTCTACTACCTATTTACGACCGTCCGCCGGAGTATAATAAGTCGGAGATGCAACTTCGAGAGTAGCGCGAGCTTAAATAGCAACTTCTAAGCTAAATACGTCGTCTATAGGTTAAGGTTATCGATTTAACTAAACAAGAGTCTTAATCTTTAGATAATAACTTAGCCTCGGTACGGATTAGCCCGCGGACCCGGCGATTCCTATTAGATCGGAATTAAAGCTCCGAAGGCAGGGTACTAGCTTCTTCTAACACTTCTAATACCTTCTTCTAAATATTTCTATCGATATAATATACTAATTTATCGTACCCGATACTGCCTGCTATACTACTTGCAAATCGTCTATCTAGCTAGTTAACTCTACTAAGTATTAAATCCCTTCTTTTTAGACCGCTAGGGCTATTGCTAATATACGAAATCGCGACCTAATAAACTACCGAATAGCGAGTCTACCGCCGAGCCGTACTTCTATATAAACTACGTACTACTATTAAACAACTACACCGAATAGCTAAATAGCCGCTTATTTATATCTTAGAGTAGTTTCGTAAGGCATTGTCGACTATCTATTATATCGTTTATAAGCCTTTTACTCCTAGGCGCTACCGAGCCTACCGAATCGACGAATTCGACTATTTGTGCCCTATTTCTTAAGAGATTGCCCTTACCTACGTACTAACTCGACGACGTAGCCGTAGGCTCTATATATATACCTAAGAGCGCCTTATCGTCGACTATATTACTTAGAACGCTATAACTCGTCGTATAACTTAGACAGAAGTTAGAGACTTACTCGGTTTAAATTGTAGTCCTATAACCGTCTCTTATATCTATAGAAGGCATAGTTATCGCCGCTACGTTATATACTCTCGCCTCTTCTATAATAACCGTATTCGACGCCTACGCCTCGAATAGGCTTAATTCTATTAACACTTTACTAAAGAAGACTAGGCAAACGTTCTATAGAGCGACGAGTGTGCTATATATAATAGATTATATAAGAGGCTCTTTATTACTCGACTAGTTAGTAAGCGCAACTAAGACTACTATTCGAGGCCTCGCTTCTAACGCCTTCTATACTAGATAATATAGGCCTATATTAGTAGTATTAGCGGTAAAGGACTACTCCTACTATAGGATAAGATATAGGGCAATATTAATAAAGAGTTATACTATAAGAAGGTCTTACTACTAGTTTAAGAAGAGATTAGTCGTATAAATAGCCTTATTACTAACTAAGAATACCCTCTCGGTTACGAGCCTACCTTACACTTAAGAATAGCACTCTTCTAATAAGACTCGGCGCCTATATATAGAGCTAAATATATACTTAATTAGTTACGAGCTCGCCGCATTATTCTTATAGACAACTAGCTACCTTTATTACTAGATTTAAACTCTATCGAGAACCTATAGCGAGTAATTAAGTAGGCAATTAAACGCCGTAGAAATAGACCTACTAGCCGTAACTTTTAGCTAGCAATTATCGAAGAATACTATAACGTACCTATAGAATTAGTATAATAATAGATTAATAGTATGCCGGCTCGCTATCGTATAGTAATTGACGCTAATAGCGGTTAAACATAGTAGTAGATAGTATAGCGCTTACTTAGTTATCTATAGTTGTCTATAGTCTTTAAACTAGCCTTCTATACGGCTTTAAACACCCTCGTTCTTAACCCTAATCGTTACTAAACTAGCTGAAGAACTAAAGTTCCTAACAATCGCACTAATTGGCTTCTAACACCTAGTTATACTATACTTTGTATAGCAAGCGGTGCCGCTGAGCAAGGGTCGCGACACCCTAGAATGCATAAGCGCTCTTTCACTCCGATGTGCGTTGACGCTGTACATATCAATACGGCCAATGCTAACCCATGTTATCGTCGGCGAGATGGAATATATAATATCCGGCCGCTGCGAACTCCTGTAGCATCCTTGCCAGCAGAACGCAGCGCCCCAAGCCGAAGCAAGGCGGCGTCACTGGAGATATACACTGCGATTTGGGCTGCGAAGACGCTTGTATACCAAACCGGTCCGCCAGTGAGTGGTTCACCTGCACGCTATCGGTTGCCTGCAGAGACGAGAGGATTATTCGGCGCTTCAGGGCACGAAGGAACGGCCCACATAGCAGCTTACCGAAGTCGTTATCGGAAAGAGCAGTGTTCAAATGTGTAAAATCTGGGAAACAAAGTAGAGTACTTGGAAGCGGGTCAAGCTAGGCGTCGGCAGACCACGGTATAGAGCTTAGAGCTTCTCATCAAGGCTGCAACCGAGCAAAAAACGCTGACATCTCTTGTAGGTGAAACTCACACTGCGTCCTACGTGAGATTCCGATGCTCTAGATGCGAGAGCATTTCGTCCCTGGTCGCTGCTGGGGACAGACTTTCGAGCGTGCAGTCTTCTACAGTCACGTCCAGGGCTTGAAAAGCACACACTTGTTGTTGCGGATTAAAGCCGATATCATCCACTTTCATGTATGATCATGATCGTCGTTGCTATAAGGTCTCGGAATGTCATGCGTCTTTGATGATTGCAGAGCCGCGAGTCCACCTCATCTCAGCTGAGGCCTGAGGCGGGTCGTGTGGAGAGCGAGTGCACGCTATGGTTTCTGTAGCTATATAGCAAGTCACTGTCGAGCCTGCTCAACAATCTTGAAGCCCTATATCGCGACCACTCAAGGTCAAACGCATGTGTCTCTATACACTGCCTTTCTCCCTCGCAAGTCTTCGAGCTTTCACGGTAAGCCTTCATCTTTGAAGCAAACTCCACTTTGCCGGGTTTTTTTAAGCCATGACGGCAGTGATGGCGTAGCTACCAGATGCCGCTGTTGGCGGTATGCAAGCATCGAGCCTGCTGGCAAACGTGCAAAACGGGGATCGTCAGAAGTCGACCGTGCCGAACAGCGCTGAACAGAAGCCGTGCGTGACGACTTCGCCGAGTGGTGAACGGACCAGAGTTGCAGTACTACGCCGTGATACTGCAGCCGCACATACAGTGAAGAAGTTCATGATGGAGATTGTGACATCGCGAAGTACGAAGACGTGCTGCAACATGGCAAGGAGTCGAGCTCTGCACCCAATTTGACGCCAAGCATCGAATGTCGTCCGTGCGTTCTCGGCACATGTGTTTGACAGAAAATTTCTGGAGAAGCCGAGAGCCGAGAGCCGCGACTTCGTTTTCGTCGTGCGTCTTGAAGCAGCCTTGTGGCATTCTGTACGTAAAACGAATTCGTTCTTGCCACTACTGTACCTGACACTAGACTATTTCAGTATACAGAATCCAGGAACCGCGTCTGATGCCGGGAGTGAATACCAAAAGCATTCTGGAACGTCACGGCGTGACAGTGGAAACACACTTCTTGCCTGTGCTCCCTTGCACTTGCCATCTTGAACAAAAATATGGACGGGATCATCCGTGACGCGCCTGCCATGTCTCAATATCAGCGTCGACTTCCTGGCCGCTCCAGCTCACTCACGACTTCTACAAGCCATCGACAGAATGAGCGTTCCATCTGCATCATCAATACCCAGCGAGTCTGACGATGACCCGGATCTCCTCTCCTCACAGGCCAGCGGCACTCCAAGTGCCTTAGAAAGAGAACACAGAGTGAGATTCATCTCCAACGCGGCGGCACAGCAACCACCAGCACCGCCCGTCCCTTCGGCAGCCATTGCATCTGACCGGACACAACTGCCACCACGACCTCATCCTATCCTGCGGGGGCGTTCTAGAGATGCAGTGACGGCGAGTCAAGATCATGTCGAAGTTCCTGAGTCTGCAGCGGCCCAGGTTAAAGCCAACATTATGGCTAATAGAGCATGGAGAACTTCACCTCCAAGTTCTCGGACCTCGTTCGACTCAACTGCATACACCGAAATGGGAGAGAGCGACCATCATCTTTTGAGGAATGATCACGGCATTGCTCTGCAAGATTTCACTCACAGCCAACATGTGCAGCACGCGCGAGAAACCAGTGGCGAGAGCACAAATACTTCCGGTCGTACGGTGTACGCAGACCCATCGCAAGTCAGTCCATCAACGCAGGACTTTCCGAGAGGATACACAGCAGTACATGCCACGGAAATGCACCAGGAGAAGCACTCCAAAGGCGAATTGGACGAGATCTACAATGCTACCTACGATGGCTCTTACGCGGTCCCTAAGCCGGATCACTATCGGGGCGGAGTGCTATCTCAACTTCTCAAGCTATCTAAACAAGCAGATTTCCTCGGCTCCCGCCAGAGCATACCAGAAGCATCACATTCGGATCCTCCGAAACATAAAAGGACGCCTTCAGGAACAGACACCGGTGCCATGACGCCTGAGCGACGGAAATGGTACGACTCAAACTCGTCGCAAGACACACTGGCGACGCTCATCGGTGCTTCGGCAAGTCTAGCGAAGCCAGCACAACCTCAGAGTGACCACAAAAGACCCAAACCGCCTCACAAGAGGGCACACAGCATGGCTGGCCGTCTAAGTCAGATTTTAAAACAGGAAGAGATGCGCGTCAAGGTCCACATTGCTGGAACCTTAGCACGTCAAGAGTTCATTCTGAAGTTGTGTCGCGCTCTCATGCTCTACGGTGCACCAACGTAAGTTGCGTCGTCGAATCCGGACTTGCTCAAGAATTTCTGCTAATTTCCGCCACAGCCACCGGCTTGAAGAGTACCTCACCATGACCTCAAGAGCGCTCGAGATCGAAGCCCAATTCCTCTACATCCCAGGATGCATGATTATCTCTTTCGACGATACCGAGACGCACACCACCGCTGTAAAGCTTGTGAGGCTCGCGCAAGGCATCGACCTTGGACGACTCAAAGATGTCCACAGAATCTACAAAGAAGTTCTGCATGATGTGATAGGGATGGAAGAAGCAACCGGCCAGCTGGACGAACTGATGGGCAAAAAGCCTAAATTCCACCCATGGCTCCGAGTGCTGGTTTTTGGGATCACCAGCCTCACTGCCGCTCCATTTTCATTCAGTGCTAGGCTGATTGACTTGCCAATCTGCTTCTTCTTCGGCTGCCTTGTCGGCACTATGCAGCTCATCCTGGCTCCGCTTTCTCCGCTCTATAGCAATGTCCTGGAAGTCTCTGCTACGGTCATCGTGAGCTTCCTGGCGCGAGCCTTTGGCAGCATTCGCGGTGGAGACTTGTTTTGCTTCTCTGCTCTAGCACAAGGCGGTATAGTGATGCTCCTGCCAGGGTACATGTTCCTATCTTCATCCCTAGAGCTACAAGCACGAGCAATCGTGCCAGGGTCTATCCGGATTGTTTATGGAATCGTGTACTCCCTTCTCCTGGGATTCGGTATCACCATTGGTGCGGCACTCTACGGGCTGATGGACCAAAACGCAACTTCGAACCTCACCTGCGCAAATCCGATCCCTGGCCTCTACGCTTTCACCTTCGTGCCATTTTTCGTCCTGTGCATCAGCATACTCTACCAATCGAAGTGGAAACAAATGCCAATAATGGTGGTCATCGCTTTTGCCGGCTACGTGGTGAACTACTTCAGTAGTCTTCGATTCCCCACAAGCCCTCAGATTGCTAGCGGATTCGGAGCTTTCGCGGTCGGCACACTGGCCAACTTGTATTCAAGATTTCGTCATGGTGTTGCAGCTGCGATTCTGGTTCCTGCCATCTTCACCCAGGTACCTGGCGGCCTAGCAAGCAACGGAGGGCTTTTGAGCGGGCTCCAAGTTGCGAACGAAATCAATAATGCAACGAACGCCATAAATGGAACTGCCGCCAATATAGAGGCCAGCACGAATCCAAATTATGTGGTATTCAATGTTGCAAGCAGCATGATCCAGATTGCGATAGGTATCACGGTCGGCCTATTCATGAGCGCACTAGTGGTATATCCACTAGGAAAGCGGAGGAGTGGATTGTTCAGCTTCTGAACCACAAGCTATGATTTAACGAGCAAATACAATATAGATAATGATAATAGAATGCGGGCAGAGTCGCCGTGTGAGGCCTCCAAGGACACGCATCCCACCCAGCTTTCTTGACGAGCAACGCCCGCCACAGACATTTCGTACACTCATGTGCTGAAGAGTGCTAACGGACTGAAGAGAGTGGAATTATTCGTGTGCACACAATAAATTTCATCCTCTACTAAATGAGAGAACTAGCAAGTCTTGGCCAGGGATCAGCAAAAAAAAAATCAGTGAAACAATCACGTCCCTTCGTCCCGAAAAGTCCATCCGACGATCCTTCTCTCATTGACCAGCTAGAATCCGTGCTCAGACCTCCGTGCTTTTTTGAAGAGAATGCCGCCTGCCTGTTCATGGATGACCATCATCTAGGTGGCGAGGAAGTCAAGAACGGCTTGAAGGGAAGCAATAGCGTCCTGGAGCTGCAGGACTTCATTGGCGTTGCCAGCGGGCGCGGTCAGCTGAACATGAAGAGCATCGATGGCCGCGTTCAACTGGGTGATCAGGCCGTCTTGTCGGACTGAAGGGCGTTGGTGTCATGCGAGAGATGCGAAGTTCAGAAGATTTTGAGTACTTGGAGCCCGGCAGCGGCGTTGGGAGTTGCAAGACCGTGAACGGTGGTGAGGCCGATCAGGCCGACGATGAATGCTGAGATCTTCATGTTGGCGGTTGGTTTTGACCTTGCATTGCTGATCAGCGGAGGCTGAGTCTTGTTTGCTGATCTGATTGAGGTGTGAGCTGGTGGATGATTGCTTCTATCAGGGAGTTACTATGGACTGATATATTCTACCTTCTCCAGAGTAATCGAGGCATTTAGCTCCCAATTTCCGGACGCATCCTCGATCGAGCTACTCCTTCCCGTCCATTGTGGAGTAATTAGTAAATCTTCCAGGCCGAAGTGCTTCTCTTTGTCGGCGAAGGTGTGTTCATCATCTCGGCGGCGGCCATTCCGTGACGCTCTTGCAATGGCGGTATGGCTCCACATGGCGCACGGGAGAAGCCAGACTGTTGTGTAACACTGACAAACCCGGAAACAGGTAGCCGCGTATGCTTTCAATCACGATTGGGAATGTTAGTTCGTTTCTCTGTGCCTTGTTCATCCGTTTCTGTCTAATGCCAAGCAATGAGGCAGAGGTATGCACTCGGAGCAGCCACTGCTGGGGTAACCACACCTTGCTTGAAGCGTCTCGTGCATGCTCAGAATGTTGCCATCTGCAAAGCAAGATTGTCTCCTGGTGAGAGTGGTCGCAACAGCCAGTTAGTGAATCTTCGTATGCTGGTCAGCCGCCGTTCATATTCCTGGCCCCATGTGATGACCAGTGTCAACACGGCCGCCCAAGAGCACTCCTCTACCAGCCTTCTTGACAGTATATATTCTCGAGCAAATGGCATTTTCTGCGCTTGACGCCTCGTTCGCGGTGAGTGGACTGCTGCGCGATGTGGTCTTGTTCCGAGCGAAGCACTCAGCAACAATGGCGTAGACACAATGGAATCTTCACACCGCCTCTTGGTTGTAGTGGTAGTGACATCCTGTTATTCCGCAGTGGCGAGAAGTAAATCATGAAGTGAGACTCATCCTTTTGAATTGAGCATCTTTTGCGCAGTCGTCGTACTTGGCATCAGCGTCAAGTGTCGCGTTGGCACAGGAACAAGGAGGTGAGACAGCAGCAATCCCCATCGTCATGCAGTCTTTCCTTCTATGCAGAACATGCTTCACTTTCAAATTTGTGCTCTCGAGGATAGAAGGAGCTGACACACCGGTCTGTCAGCATGAGAGGCACGTATGCCGTCTCAATCCATGCCGAACATCATCATCAGCTCGCGTGAGGCGGAGAAGATTCCACGCGAATGGTGCCATTCTGACATGATATGCTTCGGAACGACAAGCCGCCAGCCAATTGCGGTTCGACAGTGCCCAGCGAGTCGGTGTCGACGCTTGCAGGACTCTGCAGTGGTACACAGCGGTGTGTGCGCGTCGTCGATGATGAGAGATGAGTTGAGAATAATGAGATTCTGCTTCTCCACGCACGCGCCAAAGAGCCCGAGCGCGAGCGCGAGCTTACGATGGATGGTTTCAGCTGGACAAGGTTGGAGCGTTGTGGCGATGCCCGCCAAGATGCTGCTGTGCAGGCCGTACTGTACAATAATACTGTAGGCGGGGCAGGGCAGGACAGAATAATGGCAGATGCAGGTGAAGGTGAGGGTGAACACAGTGGCGAAATTGGGCTTGCAGGCCTGTGCATAGAATAGCACGTGCAGTGCAATAGGTTCTACAGCTGGAGTGCAGTATTAGAATACTCTAGGCATCGCGAAGACGAGACGGGAATCTTGTGAAGCCAAGGCCAGGCTCGTGGTGGTGGTGGTGACGGGACTCTGCTGAGGCTGCTGTTGCCGTTGCCGCGAGAGACGAGAGTCCATCGCTTGCTTTGCCCTTTGCCCTTGCACACCACACATCGCCGTGAAGCTCCCAGCAACTATCGCATCTCATCTCGTCGCGCTTGGGCACGAGCGTACACAGCCGCCCGCCCAGCAAACATCGAGAGTAGCCCGCCGTTCTCTGCTCTGCCCTGCCGCTAAAAGGTACGCGCGCGGGATCTACCTCGCCCTCGCCCTCGCCCTGTCCAAGCACGCACTGCACTTCCGCATCTCTCCATCCTCCCTCGACCAACGCCATCTCCCCCGTCCTCTCCAACCCACTCCACCATTGCGGCGCTCGCTCACCACCGCTGCAGCACTCGAATCCCCGACCTGGGCCTTCGTTAACCCGTCGCGCACATGGCGGAAATCCGTCGCAAGCTAGTCATTGTTGGTGACGGTGCCTGTGGAAAGACTTGTCTGCTCATGTAAGTCTCTATCTGCATGCCTCCATGCATCCATCCGCGCAGTACTGACTCCGCCGCCAGCGTCTTCTCCAAAGGCACTTTCCCAGAGGTTCGTTTCACGCTGTCCACCCCCCCCTTTACCCGCCGCCCGCCCGACCGCGTCATCACCAGCGCCCAGACCTGGCATACCTGGACCACTATCGACGATGAACAGTGCGGACACTCACTGATGCTAATTGCTGCCTGCAGGTCTACGTCCCAACGGTCTTCGAGAACTACGTCGCCGATGTTGAGGTGGACGGCAAACACGTTGAGCTAGCGCTATGGGATACGGCTGGTCAGGAAGATTACGACCGACTGCGACCGCTTTCATACCCAGACTCGCATGTCATTCTCATCTGCTTCGCCATCGACTCGCCCGACTCGCTTGACAACGTGCAAGAGAAGGTACGCCTATGCTCACGTGCTTCTTTTCGAGAACAACAAATGCTGATTGGTTGCGCGTGCGTTCACAGTGGATCTCAGAAGTCCTCCACTTCTGCCAGGGCCTGCCTATCATCCTTGTTGGCTGCAAGAAGGATCTCAGATACGACCAGAAGACGATTGAGGAGCTGCACAAGACGTCGCAAAAGCCGGTAACACCAGAGCAGGTACGTCCCGATCAGGCCATGCTGCAACTCATACGCTGCCGCAAGGACCAGTACTGACCCTCGTCGCAGGCTGAGGACGTCCGCAAGAAGATTGGAGCACAGAAGTACCTTGAATGCTCCGCCAAGACCAACGAAGGCGTCAGGGAGGTCTTCGAGCACGCCACGCGCGCTGCTCTGCTCACACGGAAGAAGAAGGAGAAGAAGTGCTCTATCCTGTAAACTACTTCAACCCATAACATCATACTTCGGCGATTCACAAGCAACACCACCTGCGTCTTCCGCGTCTGACTGCTACCATAACGACCCGCACGTAAAACTTCGAGAGCACCGGCAATGCGAGCACACGAGCAAATTAAACACAGCTAATTGAAAGAAGAAGAAAAAGATGAGTGGAAGAGTGAAGTTCAGAGAAGTCTCGACGCAGCGATGCTTCTGCCGCGATCAAGCTGCTACTTCTCCAGGAACGAAAGGAAGGGAGTATGGGGCTGATTGAGGGACGGCAGGAAGACAGGATCAGGATCTCCGGGCATCGATCAGCTGGCTGAGGCTGCTCTCTCCTTTTTTTTTGATCACAACATCAGTCGGTGGACAAGTGGTCCTTTGAGTATGTGCTCCTTGTAGTGTCATGTAACCATGGCACATCCTGTACCTGCTGGCGTTTAACTGGTTTCCCGAGGCATATCTCTGGTCTTCTCGTTACGACGTTTCATCTCTCTCTTTCTTCTAATTGCATTTTGTGGAGGTGGGCTTCGTAGGCAGATAGCATGAGTGCGAATACGAGCATATGTGAGTTTACGTGAGTCGGTTCTGAGGGAGAGAAAGTGAGGCGAGGCCGTTGATTGTGGTGTTTGCCTCAGCAGCATCTCGGTGTGGTGTGGCGTGGCGTGGCAGCAGCATCGGAAGATGTCGAGCAAAGCACCGACTGCAGCTGCAAACATTGCGTCAAAGGCAGGCAGTCCGCTCACCTGCGCAACTCCGCCGCCAGCATTGAACATCCAATTCTGAAGCGTCACCGAGCATTTCTTGCAAGAGCGGCCAGACCCACAGTTGGAAGACTCTCCAAGCGACGCGGCGAAAGGCTGCAGATCGATTTGCGCTGCCGTTGCGGCTTCCTTGAGCAAACGGTTTGTCTCGTTGCTCTTTCACAGGCGCAAAGCAGGCTTGGAAGTTGAAGCCTTGAACCTGGAACACACGCGCGGACCCGGACCGCAGAAGCCAATAATACATCATCCGTCGTAAGGTACATACATGTAGAATAGTGGGCGACCGCCGACCGGACCACAGCACAGCACAGCACGCGAATTTGACGCCTCAGACGCGGGAGGCTGGCGCGACGCCATCACTCAGCAAAAATCACCTTGCCGCGAAGCGCACCACAGTGACCACACAACGCCAGCTTGTCACGACCTACACCTCACTCTCCATTGGGCCCGCGAGAATCAAGCTTGCCGCCGCCCACCACACCGACCACACTCCCATTTCCGACCATTCGAGACCAGAGGAGGAGAAGAAGTGTGCTGCCCTGCCCTGCACTGCGTCCAACACTTGAATATCGGAAGAGCAGGAAGCAGAAACCCACTCGTTCTGCCGCCTGGTCTGTCTTGCTCGAGACACCATCACACACCACCCCTATCAAAGCGCGAACACATGCATCTGTGTTGCCAACAAACATCACAGCCGCAATGTCTCGTCCGGTGATTTGATCATCCGTCCCTCTTGGTAAGTATCAAGTCGCCTGCTTGCTCCCTTTCTGAATTGCGCTGCTCGAGTTGGCTACTCGGCAGCTGGCGGAGCTGGAAGAGAAGGAGTCCTGAGCGCACGTGCTTCTGCGCGCCGGAGGGGAGGAGATACTGCGGACATTTCTTGACATTGAAGCAAGCGCATCTTGAGAAGTTGCCACACTGACTTAGAACCCAGGGCTCCCACCCGAGTCGATACAGCCGCTCTTTGTGACTGTCTCCATTCACCGACACACCCACCACCGAATACACACATATCATCTACCTATATCCGCATTCACTACTGGCGCATCGCCCCCAACATAACTTACGGGAATCTTGGCACTCATTGAAAGGTGACCTGCTGGAGTACCGGGAGCAAGTGAATAGCATGCCATTCCTGGGCAATAGTACATTCACTGCCCGCGAAGGCATCGTATCAATCCTGGTGCATAAGAAGAAGAGTAGCGCCCCCGAAATGACGATGATGGATCAGAACTGCAACAACACCGCTTTCGCGGTTGAGAAAAGCATTGAACAAACCACAGAAGAGCGCGTGGATTGCGGTAAGTCGACATGTGTGTTCTTTTCTTGCCCGCGCAAGCTGCCTGGGAAGAACCTCATCTTCCACTGCTGTCAACCGCTGCTGATCTCGACTAGCTGAGCCTACCTCATCACAAATGCCTTCGCCTCCGGACTCGAGGTCCCCAACACCACGCTTCAACCTTGACATCTGCCCAAGGCGCCTGTATCCCCTCATTCCACCAAAGAATTATGGCGCCATTTACGACAACGTCATGTTCCGCAGCTCTTTTCCCCAGCGCGAGAACATCGAATTTCTAGGCTCACTCAAACTGCGCTCCATCCTCACCCTGACTACTAAGAACGACCCCTGTGAAACATACTCAGACTTTGTTCGAAATTCTTCGGTGCGCCATAAAATCATGGAATTGGAGACGAACAAGGAGGGCGCCATCAATATGAAGCCCGACAATCTCTGCGAGGCGATCTTGTTTGCGATGAACCCATCACACCGACCAGTGTATGTGCATTGCAATCAAGGCCGCCATCGGACTGGCTGCTTCGTCGCGTGCCTTCGCAAGATCGAGGGTTGGCCCATTGAGGATGTCTTGGCCGAGTACGACACATACGCTTCGCCAAAACCACGGGATGGCGACATCGCGTTCATCAAACAGTTTGACCCAAAGGTCATCTACACCTTCGCAGAGCAAAACCCTCACCTGAAGTGGCGCTCGGACTCAGTGCTTGGCACCTTCGATCTTCTGGCCAGCATTCCCAGAATGGATATGGGGCTGCAGGTCGCAGATGGCTCTGTCGTCAGTGACACAAGCGATCCAGGTTTGATGCTAGCTGCACCGCGAACAGTCGACCCGGCGCTCTTGAACGGTACCGCGTCTATCCTCAAGACACGCGAATCTGTGATCGACGAAGACACTGGATTGTCCGAAACCATCGCCGAGGTTGAGGTGGTGGAAGACGATGAGATGGAGGATGTTGTTCACAGCACTACGTCAGGTACACTCTCAATCTCGCAGATCTCCGCTAAGTCGTAGGACGTAGCAGAAGCGGACAGGGAGATACGCCGTGCTCAGGCTCGTTATCTAGGAATCTCGCCAGAGGGAGACTCGGGCTCTTTAAGACGCGAGTTAGGCATATTGCAGATTGAGACCAGGCTACTGCACTACAGGAGGCTCTGGGCTCTCGAACGAGAATTCGAATGCGCGCTGGAGCAAGCGGCTTGGCGAGCATGGGCGCTATGAATTTCTTTTTTGACAAAACTTGCCCGGCGAGGCATTCATTGGATTTAGCGTCGGCGCTGGAGGAACGCTCTGTGATAGAGCTCTGCTTTTCCATCCATGCATGAACAGAATCGCCGCCTGTCATAGCAGAACAGCGTGCGAGAACAGTAATTAATACTGCCACACTGCACAACATCATCGGCCGAAAGCATGGCCTGTCGCTCTCGTGTGCACTGTGCCCTCTCATCTCCCTTTTCACGTTTCATCGGTCACTTATGGCCCATCTTTCCTGAACCTGGATTACGCGACGCTCCTATGCATGAACCAAACCACGCCCGGCTGTTGTGGAGCAGGTGCGGCCCATTGCGCCTCTCAATCATATACAGAGTGGCACTGAGGTGAGCGAAGTCGGTCTCAATCGTGAAACGGTGCCATCCTCATGAGCTGGGAGAATCAAAGCATTAGAGCAGGAGTAGAATCTCATTGCGCAATTCACATGGGTACATAACTCGTCTCAGTCGACGTCTGGACATCAGCGGCAGGAGGAGCAGAATGGTTTTGACCACCGTCACTGTCCTGAAAGTAATCCCTCGAAACCCTTTCATCTTCGCTCTCATCAATCAAATACCGCGCACGCACTTCCCCCATCTCCGCTCGAGACAATCTTTGCTCCAACCCGTCTCTCAAGTCAGCCGTAAAATCCAAAGCTTGAGCTTGTCTCTGCTTCTGCAACTCCGCATTGAAAGCCGATCGGTCTTTCAGCTTGCTTATGTTTTTGACAGTCCATTCGTTCCAGGTGTTTCCGTCACTTTCCATGCGTCCGAGGACATCGATCATGCTTTGTGAGTCGTGTAGAACAGCGTAGCCCCCGAGGAGAGTGTTGTAGGTCTCACTATTGGGTTGAATACCTTTTGTTCGCATATAGGTGAGCACTTGTTCTGCGAGTTGCATTTGACCGTGCCGGGTGAAGCCGTCGACGAAGATTGACCAGGTGTAGACTGTAGGTTGGCAGAATGGATGCCTTGCGTCCTTGGGTCGGTTCTTGCCTTGCATATCCTTCACGATTTCGGCAGCGTATAGGAGGCCCCGCTTTGATTTGATAAAGGTGCAGAGGAAAGCATTGAAGGTGTAGTCGTACTGCGCCATGGACGCGAATGGCTCTGTGCCGGCCTCGACAGCAGATTTGAACCGCTGGTAGAGCGCAAAGGCGCTGCGAACATCTGGGTCCCTGCCCTGGAAGAATGCTTCCAAGTAGGTGGCTATCATGATGTACATGGTATAATAGGAGGGCAAAGGACGAGCTTCTGATGAATCTCCAATTTGCGAAAGCTTGGAAGGCATCAGTCCGACATCTCGAAGCGGTCCGAGGTCAAAGAGTTGAGCGTAGGCGTCGGCAACAATCTCAAAAGCACGCTCGGAATTGTGTTTTGTATGGTGCAACGCCAAGCAATGAAGAATCTCGGTCGACAGTACTACCTCCTTGTGGATGTCTATGTGTGAAAGGGCGTCACGGATGGTTGCATTCAGGATCTCAGCGTCGTCTATGGTGACTTTGCAGGCCTTCAGAAGGATAGCATAGGTGTATGCATCGGCTTGCAAACCATGGTCGACAAGTGAGTGATAAATGGAGAAAGCAGTCTTGAGATCACCTGCCTCGACCGCATTCAGCATGATGATATTGGCGAGCTGATTGTTGAGGGGTAAGCCAATACTGAGCAGATTGTCGACTATGCCAATGCATGCTCGTAGACCTCCAGTATGCCGAATGGATTTGCGAAGCAAGGTCGCACAGCAGCTTTGGAATGCGTAGGAATCCAACGGCGCTCCAGCGGCTCTCGCCTCCAGAATAGCGCTCAGAGCGAGATCAAACTGACTGTCCTTGACGAAAGCGTTGACGAAGTGAAACCAAGTAGGCCAGTGTGTTCTATTAACCTTGTCCGAGGTTTTCATGTACTTGAAGAATCGGATCCTGGATTCCTTGCTACAGAAAGGAATGATGGGAACATACCATCGTCCATCCCATTTGCCATGCATATAGCGGACGTTAGACCAAGCATCTGTAAGAGCAAATGCTACCTCCACTAGCTTTTCGATAGCGGACGTATCGCCCCGGGACGAGTAAAGCAATGCCAAGTACTTCAAAGAACCCTGAATGCAAAAGTTGTGCTGGTAGACCTGCCCGAACGTCGCCACCAGAAAGTCTAAGGACCGATCAGGATCGTGGTGCAAGAGCCAAAGCAGAGCATGTGGCCATAGACTCAGGCTGATTGACTGGCGCAAGCAGCCTACAGTGACCTCTTCGAGCTTTTCAAGTTCTTCCAAAACTGTGTCTAGCTCGACGATGGCTTGCGGGGCGACAGTTGGTGGTTGTAGCGTCCCGGCGTCGTTCGTCGCGCACGAGTTCTTGACATGATTAATGAGCCGCAAAACCTCACGATGGTACTCTTCACGCCGACGAGCAGCGACTCTCAATTCCAGGGGTTTTCCAACTCTCTTGGTCGCGGGACGTTTTATAACTCTCTTGTACGCGGGATGTCGTCCCCAGACAGACTTCATCTGCACTGGGCCTTTTCGAGGCACGCCTCGTCGGACCTCAGGGCCTGATTTGGCAAATTGCTCAGACTTGATCGGAGGCTCAACATCACTCTGTAGTGTTCTCTGTTGCTGGAGAAGATTAGGTCGTGCTGCATCGCCGGTTCTTGGTAGCTCTGGTCTGAAAGTATGGTCGTTCTCTTGGTGGATAGCACGATCGGAAATGTCATAACCACGCCCATATAGCCTAGACGACGTGGAAGCTCTTGCTTTCCTCCGCCTTCTCCCTGTAGACGCAGGCTCAGACGAGTCTCCATGCGTATCATCCTCTGCTTCTTCGACTCCCTGGTCCCACCGGTTTTGAGCATGCTGATTGACATGTTGTGCCGCACCATTTTCTCTTGGCCCCAGTATCAGGTCTAAGTAAGAAGAGTCTGCGTCAAGGCTGGAAAGACCTGCCTTCCGACCGCTCTTGATCTCATCTCTGCGGGTCCCGTAGCTGCGGGCAAGATGTTGCTGTCGTAGGTGCCATTGTGTGTAGTTGGCAGGAGGCTGTGAGGACCATTTACGGAGAAGCGTCCGGAGTGCAGACTGGCATGATGGCATAGGCGGGCATTGAGGGTGAACAGGCGCGTGTGCTGCGCATACAGTATACGAAGCTTTTCTCGGGAGTGCAAGGAGTGAGCTCCGCAACCGCAAGCGCAAGCAAGCCAGTTCAACGCGAGTCATGCTCACTGGCTTTCCCATTTCTGCAAGACCAAGAACTTTTGCGAAACTTCACCGCTGATTGATCTACTCGCCAGAAAAGACCGAGAGATCGTGACCAAAAATGGCTTCAATACAGGCTCTCAGCTCAGCCGCGCAGGACAGAAAAGCCCGTCTGGCGCAGCTCAAATCGCTCAAACGCAAGCAGCCAGACACAACCGAAGACCAGCAAGATGAAGCAGCACCAACACCCAAGTCACCACGGCAGGACTCTACACTTGAGGGCTCAGACGTGACCTCCAAATATCTCTCAGGAAGAAACTATGACGCAGAAACGCGAGGAGCCAAACTAGGCTTTGAAACAGCACCAGACGAAGGGAAAGAAACACTCGAAAAGAAAGCCGCAGCCCTCGCCGCAGAGACCAAGCGACAAGCAGAGGAGGAAGAAAAAGCCAACCAACCTCTCGACCTCTTCAAAATCCAGCCCAAGAAGCCGAACTGGGATCTCAAAAGAGATCTAGATCGCAAACTCGCCGTCTTGAATGTCCGCACTGACAACGCTATTGCGCGGCTGGTCAGAGAGCGAATTTCAGGTCAACAAAAAGCTGCGCAAGCCCGAGCGGCGCAGGCCGCTCACGGGAGCACAAATGGTGGTCAGCAGTCATCGTCACAAAGTGGAGATGTTGAAGCCATGGGTATCGAAGGCACAACTCTTGTCGAAGCAACAAATGTCAGGGAACGCGAGGACGAAGAGGACGCGAGACGGGAACGTGAGGAGGAAGAGGCACTTCTTGATGGAAGCTGAGTGGGACGGTTGGGTGGTCAGCAAGGCCAGCAGGAGATCCACCCTTGTGCACGTGATGGTCGCACGTTTCTACTCTGAAAGAATCCAGGTTAACTCGCCGAACTGAGCGACGTGCAGGAGCGCGACCGTTCTCGAACATGACCGGGCCCGGGTCAAGAAGGGCTAAGGGTCGTCGAGCGGAGGGGTCCAAAAGAAGCCGTGAAATTATTTTCCTCGCGGTAGTCGCGGCTGCTGCTTAGCGAAATGCGTGCGATCATCGCATGATGAAGCGTCAGCGTGAACCGCCGCTTTGCAATGCGACACACGGATAATTTTCTTGACTGATGAACAGCGACCCACGCGCAATATTTCCCCAGATTCTCGATACCAGGCTACCGTGAGTGCATGTATGCATTGGATGGACAAGAAGAAGATGGCAGGGACTCAGAGTTGCGCAGCATTTCTTTTTGACAGACCATGCACGCACGAGGCAGGCAACGCACGATGCAATGCGATCCCCAGACTTATTAAGTTTACTCTCCGCTTGTGGCGTTGTCATCAGCGGAGCGTTGTGATGATGCGCATACGAACACATCTCGCACGCTTCGGACATCGGAAAGAGGAGAAATGTCTTAGAAGGCTGGTTAGTAAGTCAATCGTCGAGGTTTCACCTCAGCTTCCCTCTACAGTATGACACTGATGAGGGAGCCAACTCCGCGGAAAGGTCATCGGTACAGTAGTAGCATTAGTGTGCTTTCGTCAGCAACGAAATCAATGCAGGCTACTGGCCATATTATTTTCGAAACAAGAAAGATAGCGCTGCCAGACATGTTCGCAATCTCGCAAGCAACCCCTTGAACTCGAGCCGCTTGTGTACGGCATCAACCGCGCCAAGCGAAGACATATGATATGCAGGTTTTTACAATCAAGGAAAGGCGCGACTGTGAGCGACATGAGGTACATGAGAGATGTGTGTGCTTTCCCCGCAGGTTCGTGAAGGATGGAGAACCTGAATGTGGACGACGCTATGCTCTTTCCAGATCCATGTATGCAGCCATAGTTATTACGTGGTTATTACGGAGGGATGGCGTCTCCGAACCTGCGTGTGCAAGGGCAGATCATACGGAGCAGGTGGGCAGATGTTTAGGAGGTGTGGTATCTGCTCTTGCGAACATTATTCAAGACGAATCTGCGGGGAGTTTGAGATTGCGTTGATGTCGACCGCATCTGTTGTTGGCCAGCGCTTCAAACACATCATGATGAGGTAAGCAAGGAGCAAGTGAATGACTGCCTGCACATTGCTTTGGATACTCCTCCGAAACATGGAAGCGATGAGGTCTGTGGTGTTAATGATTAGCACTGAGCACTCGTCGCTGGAAGGTGGCAAGTGGCGTCCGATTAGTGAGTTGATAGGCGCAGAGTAGCGTTTGCGCTGTGCACCCGGCATCAGCCATACAGGTGGTTGAGATGGGGCGAAGCTCAGCTGGCCTGCATGTACTCTATACCTTTGATTATTATTACAATGAGAAGTTGGTCCAAGCTTGAAGGACGAAAGTTGCTGGATGCTGGTCAGCGTGACGATGTTCTGATGTAAGTCACAGAAGAGCGCAAATTGCTTTCGCTTGTGCTTCTTCATTCTGTTGACGAGCGCTGCAGAGTGATGAGGATTGGGAAGTGATCAGAGGGACCTAGCAGGGCAGATCCTTTGATGAAGGGTTGAGGAAAATAGCATCGGTCCTGGTCTCTCTTGTTTCTGCTGGGAAGGCCGCGGGCGGGAGGAGAGATTGCCAAAATTCAAGGTGGCCAACATTAGAATGACATGGCATGGCGATATGCAGGCGCTCGGGCCTTTTCGTCTTCAGTTGCCTGTCGCCTTTTCGATAGCGTGTACGATGATAGGGTCGTCGCGGGTGCGATACTGCGATTTGACGCAGATGCGCATTGCGCAGGCGGGAGAGCGACCAGCATCGCATCGTCGCCCAACGTGGATGCCGGCGTTGACGGTTGACTGCTCAAGGCATTTCGAATATGGCCTGCACGGGTTTGACGGGCGTGCAGCACATGGGTTGGCTCCGAGGCGTCTGGTTGACCACTGCATCTTCTCAGACCATACCGAGCCCCAGCTACCCGCCCGAGCCCTAGTATAACCCGGTGCTAGCACTATTGTAGAATCGCCTCTGTATTAAATTACGTGCTCTTTCCGCCTAACATAGGCTGTTTCTATTCCTAGCTAGTATTATTAGTAGGCGCGTCGCGTATTATCTAGGAAGTTATACCTCGAATTCTACTATAGATCTAAAGTTCGTATTTCTTCTCCCTTTTATAGTAGATTGCTTAGTAAGTACCGAAAATAGCTAAATCCCTATTATACGACAAGTTTCCTAATAAAGTTATTACTAGTAATAGTAATAGCGCGGCGGCGGTAGTAGTTATTAAGTTATAGGAAAAGGTAGAAATAGCGGTAGAAATAGTACTAGTAGAAGGCGCGCTATTAGGGATAGTTCTTAAGTCGTAGAAAGAGGTAGAAATAGCGGTAGTAGTTATTAAGTTATAGGAAATATATATTCGAGGTTATAGTTACTTACTAAACTATCTAAACGTATCTCGAGAACGTATATCGCTTCCTAACTATCGATTCGCTAAGAGATTAAAGATCTATAAGTATATAAGAACTAACGTCTATAGATAGAATAAAAGCGAGTAAAGTAATAAGCTAATATTAAAACGCTATACTAGCGCGTCCGTTTACTAGTACTATATAGCGATAAAAGATCGAAAGTATCTACGTTTACCTAGCGTAGATCTCGGCGTACTTATAGGTAAAGGTCGGCTATATACTTAGCGCTAAGCCTCCTTAGCTTCGGTCGGAGGGGCTATAGCGACGCGATTATCCGCTTCTATACGCGATTTTGTATAGAATAGGCGGTCTCGTAATCTCGGGTTATGCTAGGGCTCGGGCGGGTAGCTGGGGCTCGGTTTAGTCTCGAGGGCTGCTATCCGCCCCAGCCCCAGCATCGCAGAAGCGGGCTCGGAAGGCTTTTCTCAATCTCACCAATCACAGAGCGGCACGCTCGAGCCAAAGTGGAGTTTCACTCGAGTATGCGCACTCTCAACTTCAATCTTCACGGTGCTATCGCTGCCCAGCCCATCTTCCATCATTCTCACCACACTTCCTGTATACTAGCCCTTCCTTTCAATTGCTTTTCGAAAGGTGCGGCGCGTCCATCGCCGTCACACAGCGCCACCCCCATCGCATTCTGTGAGACGACGGCCATTCTCAACCGTTTGAGTGCTGCGCTTGGCGTCTACCATGACACCGACCGAACGACGGCGTGCCTTCGATTCTTGACCATCCGAACTTGCAATTCAATGTCCAGCAGAAGCCAGTGCGGGTAGGCGTGTGTTTGGCCAGCTGCTCGAGGCAGGCGATTTTGCGTCTGCCGTGAAAACAACTCTCCACTGGCTGTGGCAGCTTGGAGAGGGAGCACAGACGTTGGTTGGGACGGCGGGGCGGGGTGGGGCGTCCGCCGTCAGGCACAGAGACAGGCCGCAATGTCAACGGAAGAGCACAACGACGATGGGCAGGAATCGCGGTCGCAGGAGAGCAGTGGCCAGAATGTCGAATACACATCCAAGTCGGAGATGCCGCCCAGCTCGAATGTGATCACGGTCACGCCCCGCAGTGCTGTCGAGGCAACGGCACAAGCTGAGGTAGAGGGAGCGCTGGTAGAGGCGCAAGCAGAGGCACAAGCAGAGGCAGAGGCAGCTTCGAACCCGGACTACTTTACGCTACACCCCGCATCCGCAGAATGCACCATCGAGACAGCACGGCTCGACCAAAGCCAGAGCCAGAGCCAGCACAGCCAGGACAACCCGCAAGCGCAACCACTGTCGCTGCCACTGCCACCGTCATCGCTGCCACGCACTCGATCGAACCCTTCGCCTGCAGCCAGTCTTTCCGGGAGCGATGTCGAGTCGGGTCCGCGTGCGCACAGCGAAACTGCAGCCAAACCCCCGTCATCGTCATTGCTACCACTATCCTCGCCACGCCCAGCAGCGCAGACGGCCATCTCGAGTCTCAGCATCGAGAGCACCGAAAGCTCGGCTACTGTGCGCCCCGCGCCCTCCCCCTCGCGCCCGGCTCTGACGACACAGCTCACTTTCCCCAGCCAGGCACTCGCGGAGCTGCACAAACAGCAGTATCCGGCCTCCTACGTTCCCACGTACATGCGTGGTCCCCATGTCAATACTTTCTCCTCTGCAATAGCCTCGCACTACGCACGACCTCACCGCGGCACTCAGACCTCGCACAACTCGCCGGCTGTCACGCCGAGCACCGCCGGTTTGTTTAGTCCACACGGCCCAGCGTCGGCTGTGCCCTTGGAAACAGAGTCAGATGCGTCGGGCACGTACGCTAGTCCCTTCCTGCACTTCACGCATACCCACGCTCCCAAGGAAACCCACACTGCCGATGTCGACATCGATCCGGTTTCTGGTCGCAAGGTGATCAACAACTACGAGATCGTGGACGAGCTTGGCAGAGGCACGCACGGAAAGGTCAAGCTTGGTCGCGACTTGTATCACAGGGACAACTATGTTGCCATCAAGATTGTTGAGCGCTTCTCCAAGCGACGTAAACTCGGTAGACTGGGCACGACCGAAGATAAAGTCAAGAAGGAAGTCGCCATTCTCAAGAAGGCTCGTCACCCCAACGTGGTGGCACTTCTCGAAGTCATCGACGACCCGTCGCGAAAGAAGGTGTACATCGTGCTGGAGTGGGTGGAGATGGGCGAAATCATCTGGCGAGCTAAGGCTCCCAAGGAGATAGCCATGGTCGAGGCACGCAGGTACAATAGAGAGAAGAGCGGCCGTCAAGACGAGCGAAAAGCAGCCGAGGATAGAGCCGTGCTGGATGAGGCCAAGAAACGGCTTCAGAAGGAGAAACGGCGGCGACTGAGAACTCTGCGTCGGAGTAGACGTCGCGTACGGGATGACCCCACGGCATGGAGTAACGAAATGACTGGCGATGACTTGAGTGATGATTCAGACGACGATGATAGTTTGTCTCGTATCTCCTCCATGTCATTCGCGGGCGACATGGACAACAACGCAGCTCCGTCGCAACAGCAGTGGCTGGACGCTGGTCTAGGTAGGCGACCGTCACGCACTCCAACGCCCCTCCAGCCGGCACTCGACACCGCCATCGCACACCCTTCACGATTCCTGAGGCTGACCGCAGAACCAGAACCGCTCTCTCCGATCACGACCGACCCTACTCCCATTTCTGCCGCCTTGGCTTCCTCTGTCGACCACTTGACCGGCTTGGAGGGTACCATGTATGGTGCATATGAGCCTGTTTACGGGGCCTCGTCACGTGTCGCCAGTCTTCCTAGCAGCTTGCGAGGCTCACAGCATGGAAGCACGGAAGGACTTTCTGCCTTGGCCGACGAAGTTCTCGACTCAGAACTGGATTCCGACCTTGAATTCGTTCCCGTTATGACAATTGAACAAATTCGTGTTGCTTTCAGAGACACTCTTCTCGGCCTACAGTACCTGCACTACCAGGGGATCATTCATCGCGACATCAAACCGCCGAACCTGTTGTCAACCGCCCAGGGCCGCGTCAAGATCTCTGATTTTGGTGTCTCCTACCTAGGTCGTCCGGTTGGCGAGGGCGAGCATGGTGAGGACGTTAGCGAAGCTGAAGCGCATGACCAGGATGAAGCAAAAGAGCTGGCGAAGACGGTTGGCACTCCTGCCTTTTATGCGCCTGAACTTTGCAGCACTGACCCGGCAGATGAGCCTCTGCCTGTTACCAAAGCCATCGATGTTTGGGCTCTCGGCATCACGTTATTCTGCATGCTGTTCGCTCGCACACCATTTGTGGACGATCAGTATGTCGTCATGCGTCAGATTGCAGATGACGAAGTCTACATCCCTCAGCAGAGGCTTCAACCCACGGAGCCCGATGAACCAAAATCTCAGTCGTCATCCAGAGCTAGCTCCCAAGCTCGCAACACTTTCAGCACTCCGGCTTCTAAGAGGAACCCGCTTGATTTTGCTTACGAGAATCTTGGGGATGAGCTGCATGACCTGCTCAGCAGACTTTTGATCAAAGATCCACGGGACCGCATCACTCTGGAAGAAGTTCGACATCACCCGTGGGTTCTTGCGGATCTACCGGACCAGCACGCCTGGCTTGAAGAGACAGATCCAACTCGTCAGGCTGAGAAGAAGATCGAGATTTCCAAAGATGAAATTAACGCCGCCGTCGTGCCACTGAACTTGATGGAAAGAGTGAAGTCCGTCGTGAAAGGAGTCAGTACGAAGCTGGGTCTTGGAACGAAACGTGAGAGATCGCAGTCGTCCGCAAGCCTGCCCAAAGATGGTTCTCCCGGTCCTTCCGCTCATTCTTCTAGTAGTACCATCAGCTCAGATGCGAGGAGGATGAGTATTCGAGCTGAACAGATCGTCAGCGCGCTACAATCTTCTCATGATCAGCATCCATTATCAAAGAGTGTGGCTGCGAGTCCTGACAGCGACAAGGCATCCAGGCGCGTTGCGAGATTGAACGGCCACAGTGATGCTGGCCATCGCCTATCCAGAGTAACTTCACGTCCAACTCCACATCGCGCTATGACACTCAATTCTGCCACGGAATCTATGAGGACCGTCACGCCATCTGACTTTACTCGAGCCGAATCACCGCCGAAATCGCCTGGTCTGCCAGGCACTCCGCAGGCACTCGCGACATTGAGCGGAAGTGCTTTGGGTGGACTTCTCGGCGGTGCGGCACGTATGGTCAGCCGCGTTCGCGAGTCAAGTCGTCAGCGTTCGCGCCAACGACGTGGACCAACCAGCGAGACTAGCTCTGTACACTCTTCTGACCATCACGCAGAGGCCACTCTGGCCGTGAGCGACGCAACAGCAGCTGGACACGTGCACCAACCGGAAACCTTGCGCGGAGAATTCACCCCAAACTCAAGCGTGCACAACAGCCCTGTCAACTCCCGGCCACAATCAATCACGTCAGACCACCAACATCTTCACCCTAGCCCGGTTGAGTGTGGACTGCTCTCTCGCATGAGCTCTACCAGCTCGATAGCATCCCGTGGGCGGCGCGAAAGGTACAGGGACTACAGCGACAGGGCATCTTCCCGCTCTAGGCGCGCTCATGGAGCACACGAGTCAACAGCCGAAGAGTGGCAGCGTGCCGACGAGGAGCGCATCAGGAAACTGATTCGGGAGCACAAGGAAGAGACGGAGAGAGTGAATTCGGCGCGTTCGTCGCCATACTTCGGTCACTCGCCCGACCTATTCTCAGCGAAGAAATGTCCGACCAGCCCAGATGATGAGCTTGTAAAGCGGCAAGACTCACAGACGCCATCGGTTGCGGATATGTCAAATCCCGGGACTCCCGATGAGTCTGTGAGCCCTATGCATCATACCGGACAGCTGCCGCCCGCATTGGTATCAAGCTCTTCGGACCTGGGCTCGGCAGTCTCGATGTCTATTAGCAACCCATCGATTCAGTCTGTCATCTCTGAGGCCTCTTCAGTCAGCAGGCATGGTGACCAGCATGACGGAAAGGGGCAGCCATCCTCTGACGACACGCTTCCTGCCGCGCCTCATCAGTACCTTCACGAAGACAACATCCATGGCTACAGTCCTGACCAAGAGGAGGACGCTGCAGTCAACAGTGACTGCGATGAAGAATTTGATTCGTCCTCCGATAGCGACTGTGGGCTACTCATGTCTCGGCGCAAGTCTGCGGCTAAGCAAGGTGGACATGGTGGCTCAGCGCCACTTGGGGTGCAGAAGAAGGCGCGAAGAGGCACGGGCGTGTCAACCCGCTCCAAAAAGTCTTCGCGAAGCGGCTCCAATAACACGATGAAGAAAATCCGGACACGAGAAAGCAGTGATGAGCAAAGTCGACGCTCTCTAGACATCAGCGAAGAGTGATGTCCACTTCAGGATGTACCGCGACCAGATTTTACAACACTTTACTACACGAATCATCACGACACGACCTCACGATCAACCAATTTATGCCGGCCTAGAAGACGGCATCTTCGCACACCTATTCTCAACGATACCACACCGCTCTACCTTCGCTTCTTGTTCATGCTTGCGATCGACGAATCCGGCATCGCACGGGATATCAGTCGACTTTTTTCTTCTTGGCGATGCAAGCTGTTCTTCCTGCTTGATGTATCCCACTTTCTTCTGGCATGAAGTGTACGCATAGTGGATGCGTTGTTTTATGTTATGGCTGTTCTTGGTTGGAGTTTAGCGTTTCGAGCGCCGGCGTTCACAAAGATAGATGGGATGGGATGGGATGACTGAACAGCCCAATGTGTCGAATGAAATGGGACGGGTTGATTGAGGCATCTGGGAGGAGCAATGCTGAAAGCAAATGCATGCAAAAAGGGAGGCAAAGACGTGGTTGTGGTTTCTCTGACACACTACTGATGTTGCCAGATTGACTGTGTATATCAGCAGCATATGGGCGTCTGCAGCCCCGGGCGGGTTTCCATGAATTCCGGCATTTTGCTATGTGTCTGTTTGGATGAAGGGAGGAAGATGGACGGGCCGGCAGGTGGATGGGGTGAATGGGAATGAGAGAAGCGGGAGGATGGGATGGGTGGGTGGCTCGATGGCAGATTTGTTGTTGAACATCTATCTTCCTTTCTACCCTTACTGTCTTGGTCTTGGAGGTGGTGGCAATGAAAGTCTTCCTCTGTATTTTCAAATCAAGTGACCTTCCGCGTATCATCTGTTTCAGCCTACCTTAGATACCAGGGCGTTTTGTGAGCGGTTCGAACACAATGCATGTTGGACATGAAGCTAGGGTAGGGTAATGCGCGGAGGAATCTGGCGGAACTATTATTCAGAAGGCTTGGCGATGGTGGGCTGGACTCGTTCCTCCAACTTTGCACTGGGCATACACACCCCAAGGCTCAGCTATATTTCGCTATCACTCAACACAACTGGGCCCAAAGAAACCAATGCGCATATAGAAGAGAAATAAAGGCGGCTCGAACACGCTTCCACACCCACGTCTGCCAGTGTAGTCATAGTCATAGTCGCAACCATGTCGACCTTTGGACAATACTTCCGTGTAACGACATACGGCGAATCGCATGGCAAGTCTGTCGGCTGCATTGTGGATGGCGTTCCACCTGGGCTCGAGCTCACGGAAGATGACATTCAACCTCAGATGACTCGTCGCCGACCTGGTCAATCCGCACTCACTACACCTCGAGACGAGAAAGATCGCGTAGAAATTCAGTCTGGCACAGAGAAGGGCATCACACTCGGCACTCCCATCGGACTGCGAGTCATGAATGAAGACCAGAGACCAAAGGACTATGGCAGCAAAACTATGGACATGTACCCGCGACCATCGCACGCCGACTGGACATACCTAGAAAAGTACGGCGTGAAGGCTTCTTCCGGTGGAGGGAGGTCAAGCGCACGAGAGACTATAGGAAGAGTTGCAAGTGCTGCGATTGCAGAGAAGTACTTGAAGATTGCGCATGGAGTCGAGATAGTTGCTTGGACGAATTCAGTCGGTCCAGAACACCTTTTCCCTGCCACGAGAGAACACCCTACTCAGGCTTCGAATCCTGACTTCCTGAAGCTAATTGATTCTGTCACGCGAGAATACGTGGATCGCTTCAACCCTGTGAGATGTCCGAGTGAGGAGGCTAGCAGGAGAATGGGAGACTTGATTGCTGAGTACAGGGACAAGCAGGATAGCATTGGAGGCACTGTTACTTGTGTCATCAGGAATACGCCTAGCGGCTTGGGCGAGCCGTGTTTTGACAAACTGGAGGCGAAGCTGGCGCACGCCATGCTGAGTATTCCTGCAACCAAGGGATTTGAGATCGGCAGCGGATTTGGTGGGTGTGAGATTCCTGGCAGCGTACACAACGATCCCTTCGTCAAGGTAACTTCAGCAATACGCCAATGATAGGAATCGGCAGACTAACATGGAATCAGGCGCCAACAGCTCAAGAAGGCCGAGCACGACCCCGTCTCACCACCAAGACAAACAATTCAGGCGGTATTCAGGGCGGTATCTCAAATGGCGCGCACGTCTACTTCACAGTTGCATTTAAGCCTCCGGCCACGATCGGGCAAGCACAACAGACCATGACCTACGACGAGCAGGAAGGTGTTCTCGAAGCGAAGGGTAGGCACGACCCGTGTGTCATCCCACGAGCAGTACCAATCGTGGAATCAATGGCTGCGCTGGTAATCATGGATGCGCTTCTGGCACAAAGCGCGAGACAGAGTGCACGCGCGCTGCTACCGCCTCTCAAGAACTTGACTATCCCGGTCAGCGAGACACACAACAATCTCACAGAGAAGGCAAATGGACATGCATAGTCGAACATACGAAACCGGTGCATAGCGAGGCGTTGGTAGACTTGTCAGGACCACGAGGTCTCGGATGTAAGACATGTATGAGCATGAAAAGCAACACACAATGTAACGGACTAGGCCGAACGACTCATTAGGCGGACAGTAAATATAGATTCCACTCCCTAGGCGTCTGCCTCGCTGACTTCCTGGATGATAGAACACACTTCTCACTCACTAAACCTGACCCAGTGCCGCTCGCCACGGACTCAATTTGCATTTCTTTTCGCCATGGTCTACCCGGAAGAAAGACAATTCAACGAAGTTTCTGAGTTCAAGTCATCCCTCCAGTGACCGGAAATCAAGATCTTAGGCACGCAGGTACTGGTGAATGTCCAGAGGGAAATGTTCATCAGCCTCTTTGTTTTCCAATGCGGCTCAGCATCACTCCTCAGGAACCGCGTCGTGCTCCGCTTCGTCAGGCCGTCGATGCGAAAGGACGAAGGCTGCTGGGTCTTCTAAGGGCCATAGTCGATTGAGAACGCGCTCTGATTTTGAAACAGCCGGGCACAGTAGCTGGATTATCTGGAGCATGAGGGCGAGGAATAGTCTATAGGGCCTGTCATTGATGGCAGCTCTTGTGTGGTAATTGGTCTGGAATTTTACTCGGAGTGGGACTTTTTGGCTCTTGCCTGTCTGCCCACACACAAGATCTGGCGGAAGGTAGATAACCTCTCGCCCAATCATCATTCGGACGTCAGCAGGGCGAATTAGGGAAGCAAAGCATGTGAGTGTTGTTGGTTGTCTTGCTTGGCATGGCTTCTGCTTGGATGACCATGACAAATGTCCTCCTGCAGAGAGTCTCGGACACGACAATCTATGCCAAACGCGAGAGTGCGGAAGTTACTACCATCTCAGGATCTCCACAAATTTGGAGCATCATGTCGAATCAAGCAAGATGAAGCCCGTTCATGGAGAACCGCAGCGGCAAACTCCGTGGTGTCAATGTCTATTGTACGCCAAGTGATCAGAACACGAGGCTTTCTGCGGTGTTGGCATGAGTTATTATCAAGAATTTCTGCGTTGCCCTTGCAGCATGCATGCAGCTATGAGAAGCTCTGCTCCACGTTCATCTTCCGGCTGTCCTCGTCTGGATCGCGTGGGCGCATATGTACGGCATATTAGGGCGGAGGCCGATGACCGCAGTGCCGGATTCTCGCCAAGGAGCTCAGTCCGTTCGGCCACGGTAGTCTTGTTGCGGCGCGGAGATGGTGTGTTGTGAGGTGCGCGATTTTGATTCTTTTTTCGTGCTTGCAGCGAAGTTGCTCTCGTGCTGTAGCTTCTGATGATGCTGTAGCCGCGGTGAATAGACGCGCTGCTCCGGTACAAACCCACAGAATCTGCAACTTCCAGGCGAAACGTCCGATGCACCTTGCATAGACCTTGTCGACGATACCAGGATCGAACAGGCCTCCTTGTAGCTGTGGCTCGTGCTAACAGCACAGCAGCCTCGAGGCTTGTACTTGTGACGCATAAGCTCGGTCACATGACAACACGTGTCCTCTTGGCAGGAGAAGGATTTTCACACTGTATTTTAGACTATAGAATAAGGGGAACATAGACAATCAACGAAGCTATTATTGAACCGCTAGCAAGGCAGTATTACGTAAGTAATCTACTACGCTATACGTAATAGTTATAAGCCCGGAAATCCGTAGTGTTAGAGACTTCTATAGTATAAGATAATAATTAGCAGTCTTAGCAGTACTAAAACACTATTTAATTAAGCTTCTATAAGCGCTTACAAGATCGATATATCGTTAATAGCTCTCTCTTCGGCTAGTTGCCTCGAAGGAACTAAATATATTACTCTTCGAGGGCCTAACGACTAGGACCGCTAGTTTAAGCAAACTAAGACATATCTCTCTAGATATAAAACCTAGATATATGCTAATCCTTATACGAGTAAACTAGTAGAGCTAGCTTAGCCTATAATCCCTATACTAGACGCGGAACGTATACTAGTTAACCCTCTTTACTAGTAAGGAGTTAAAATAGCTATAGATATCTATAGGATCTAGTTAGCGGACTTCAATCGATTTAGGTTAGTACGTAACAAGTCTATCGAATACCTAGCTACTACTATAGACGTACGCTATTATTTAGAAATTACTAATAATAACAATATAATAGTGCTAACACTACGTATTGTTCTTACGCGTCTAAAGGACAAGCTTACTCTAAATACATAATAGCAAAGAACAATAGTTAGTAAGGAACTAGCTCGCCTAATAGGATTACGACAAGTTAAGGACCTAGAACAGTAGTATAAGGAATAGCTTAACCTATATAAGAAGATAAGGCGTATATAATACTTAGAACTAGATAACCTAGTAGTCTATCTCTATATAGCAGTTACGAATATAGATAAAACCTACGGAAAGGGACTCTATATAATGCATTAGGCCTCGCCTAATACTAATCACTTCCTCTAACTAATTAATATAGTACGAGAATATGCCCGCAATATGCTAGGAGCCTCTACTAAGAAAGGGTTATTATTTAGCATTATCTACGAGGAAATAGGTAAAGCTAATGCTACTTCTCCCTAAGCTAATACCGCTCTATAAGCAGCTAAAGACAATAATAACAAGAATAAGAACCGTAGTAGCAGCCGTATATCGAAGACGTACGCTAAGGTAACTAGCGTTAGTAAGAAGAAGGCATATAAGAACCGAGGCAAATGCAACGTAGTAAACTATCGCCTTCGTAACTAGGTTAAAGAGAAGGATAAGGACAACAAGTAGAAGGCTAAGCTAAAGTACTTTAAAAGCTACCTACGTAAGAATAAGAGCTTCTATCTAAGGCAGGCTAAGTTCTTTAAGGACCTACTAGCTATTAAAATTGCTTAAGAACACTATAGATTAGAGAGTAGTAATAGCGAGGATTCTATACCGGACAAGCTCTCCCTTGCCTGCTTCTTCTACGCTAATACACTATTATTTACCGGAGCAGTCGGGCCTACTGCCTACCTTAGTATAGCAGCGTTAACAGAGTAGAATCCGTTTAATAGCCTAATGTATAATAGTAGCTTAAACTGCAATATTGTTAACTATCCTAGTCGCTTTAATTTTATACTACTTCTATTGCTAGCCTCCTTAACTATAGCAACTAGTACTAGTTATAACAAGGTAGTAGCTATCGGAATAGCATCCTTTACGATTATAGCTATTAGTAGCAAGCCCCTACAGATTAAACTAAGGGAATGCCTTTACATCCCTAACTTCTATACTAACATTATAGGAGGTGCCTTCTTCTTCTAGCGTAGATTCAAGTACTAAGAAATCGATAATACCCTCTATAGCCTACAATACAAGCTACTTGTTAAGTTTATTAGACTAACCTAAGGAATGCCCTACTTCGACATTGTTAGTAAAGTAGATAAAGCACTACTACTAACTAAATAGCTAGTCGACTTAGACAACAAGCCGCTTAAATACCTATTCTAACTCCCCCTATCGTTATATATAACAGCTCGCCGCTCCGCACGCCTACTGCTACTAAGAAAGCTTACACTTAAGCAAATATATAAGGTGTTCGGGCACCTAGGTGCTAAAAGAGCAGAAGAGCTAGTTAATAGGGTTAATAGAATAAAGAGGGATTATATATATAACAATAAGGTACTAAGAACCCTATAGTGCCCTATATATATATAAGCAAAGGGAAAAAGGCTCATTTCTAGGAGACTAAGGCATTATAATGTGTTAATACTAACTCTATATAGATACATTGCAGCCGACCTAATATAGCTAGATCTAGCCTACAACGGGGACTAGTACATCTTCTACGTATACGACCTAAATACTAGACTTCACTTTATATAGACAATTAGTAATCGCTAGGAATTAATACTCCTTTAGTGCTAGAACTAGCTAGCTACCTTCGTACGCAGCATTAGCAGAGACATTATCTGTTTGTTATCTAATAATAAAGGAGGCATATTAGGCTTTCGGTTTCGATCCTATCTACGCAATAACTATACTACTTAGAGGCTAATAGCGCTATACACATTAGAATAGGACCTAGCTAAGCGAGCAGGCCGCACTATTATTAAGGTAGCTCGAGCCTTAATAATATACGCTAGGTTTCTGTATAGCCTATAGCTAGAGGCAGTTTATATAGCAACCTTCCTAGCTAACAGATCACTAAGGTTACGCAATGCCGACCTACTAATGCGTACACTATACGAGATTGGTAGTAGACATAAGCTAAATATAGCCCACATTTATTAGTTTAGAGCAAGGGCATATCTAGTAATCTACGGCACCGAGACAACTAACGGTAAGAGAAAGGCTATACTACTAAGCACTATAAAAGTGGCCTTACGTACCTATATTAGTTACCTATATAGATATAAAGGACACTCTATCTATAGGATATAGGTGCCCTTACGAATAATTAGACCCCGTAGTAGTTCGGTTTCCGAACTACTAAACGTATATAGTTTGGTTTCTTAGCGGCGAACTAGCTCCCTAGTTCCGGTTTGGTTTTTTCGAACTATATAGATTCCTAGTTTGAACTAGAGACTGTATTAGTTTTACTATAAGGACACTCTTATTCGACTGCCGGCTACGATTGCCGGCTATAATAGTAACTCTATTACATTTACTACGCTCTTTTACCGTTGCTAGGGCGTAGTTGCCGTTACTAGGGCGTAGTTGCCGTTACTAGGGCGTAGTTTTGCTATAAGGACACTCTTATTCGACTGCCGGCTACGATTGCCGGCTATAATAGTTACTAGGTTGTATTTACTACGCTTTATTACCGTTGCTAGGGCGTAGTTGCCGTTGCTAGGGCGTAGTTACCGTTACTAGGGCGTAGTTACCGTTACTAGGGCGTAGTTGCTATTGCCGGGGCGTAGTTGCCGTAGTTGCGAAAGCTTACCTATATAACGTTACGTAGGCGGCAACAATTAGGGCTTCGCGATATTCTTATACTTTTAACTTCTTCCTCTATACCTATACCGACAATAACTACTATACGCTACGCCTCCGCCCCTTTCTCTTATAATAGTAAGAGAGAAGCGCGCCGCGCGCTAAACAGAAGATAGAACTAAAGACCGCGAGTTTGTTTTGCTTAAGCGTCTAACTAAAAAGCGTAAGACTAAAGAGGAGTACTCTACGAAGAAGAATTCCGTACGAGACCGCGAGAGAAAGGACAAGATAGATAAGGATAAAAGAGCTAAGGATAAGAGAAGAAAGGCGCGGAACAAGGCATTCTATCGATAGCTAGCGCCTATAGAAAAAAGTGAAGGTTGGAATAAGAAGATAACCTAAGAGAAGGCTAAGAGGAGGAAAGAATTGCGGCTAGTTTTCGAGCGTAAAGTTCTAGTAGCGTAAGTTAATCTAGCTAGCGGCCGTAGCTAGTAGCTATAGCCGGCAGCCGTAGCCGGTAGCTATAGCCGGCATATTTTTCTTTAATACGTTAACTAATAGCATTTAGACCTATAGCCGCTACCTTTATCGATACGACCGATAGTAACGGAGATGTTTAGATAGCCGAGAACAACAATACTAGAGTTTAGGATACCGCGATAGAGCTTAATACTACGAATAAAGGAACTAAAAAAAGCGAGGAGATACTATACGTCGATCTAGTAATAGGTACAGTCTTAGGGCCTAACGCTATAGACGATAAGCGCTAGGAGTAGATCGAGTATAGTTAAAGAGACGAGATACTAGTAAAGGGCTAAGGTATAAGTCCTATCAATCTAGAAAATCATAGTTAAAGCTACTACGAAAAGCTAGTAAGGATTAGAATCGAGACTAGTCGTCTTTATATCCTCGATATAGAGTAGAAGTTTCTTTATTAGTATTAGAGCGAAGCCTTTACGTCTATAAAGGCAAAGTAGCTTGCGATTAATACGATCGGGGCTAGGTATCTAGGGACGGCAGAAGTGTTACTATAGGAGGAAGGGGTATAGGTAATTATTCTATACTCGGTATATATAGCCGGCGTTCGTAGCCGGCAGATACTAATAGTTAAATAGAAAGCGTTTCTCGAAGGCAGAGTGCTACTACTATATAAAATCTTTACTAAGGTAGAGAGGGCTT